CCTGTCGGGGACTCCCGCTCCTCCCCGAGCGGCGGCGCCGGGGACGCGCTGGACCCGGGCCTAGTCACCGCCGCGGCCCCGGCCTGGGTCTGCAGTCACCGAGGCCTGGCGGGAGCAATGGCGGGGAAAGAGGGCGGAGGGGACCGGCATACGGGGGTCCCCGGCTCCAGCGGGGCGTGCTGGGCCTAGTCTGCGCTGGGAGGACGGAGTGCGCCGCCCCCCTTTCCTGCAAACGCCCACCCCACCTCCGGGCGGCGGACCTGGGAGAGAGCAACCCAGAAGCCCGCGGCAACCGCTGGCTCCGGCGGTGCCCCGAACATCCCTAGAAAGTGTGAGGCTGAGTTTCCGTCGGGGGTGGGGGGGCGAGGGGAGGGAAGGGGCTGAGGAACAACAGGGAAGCCGCAGGAAGGAGCCGGGCAGCTGCAGCCTCCCCTCCCTCTTGCCCAGGGCTCCACCTCCACCTAAAGAGAAATCCCAGCTTGGTAGGGAGGGAGGGAGGGAGGGAGGCAGAGGCGACCCCGGCAGCAGGTTGCAAACGCGGTTTTGCTCCGGGAGACTACAATTAAGCGACAAAAGAGGTTGAGGCTGAGAAGCTGGGAGGTTCCCAGACAGGAAAGCCAACTCCTGGGCAGAAAACCAACCGTAGAAGAAAAACCTCCTCTTGGCGAGTTGAAGCAGGGAGGGCCCTGGCGTCACGTGATCCCCTAGTTCTCTCAAAGACTCTTCCAGGCAGACAGGGCTCAGGGGGCACCGTTGCCCCCCAAAGTCACTCCACAATTTAGAAGCAGAATTGAGCCTAAAACCCAGGCTCGTCAACCCCTGGAACCTTAAGGAGCCAGAGGAGGAAAAACAGGTGGCTTTTATTCTGAGCTCAGCCTCAGCTCTGTCACCACATAGCACACAAGTGTGCTTAAGGGTAAAATAACCTCCGGAAAGCATCTTGACTATGCAGGAAAGGTGACAGCATTAACAGTACACACTATGTTAAGGTTTAATGTCATAGCTAAGCAATGAGTTTGGTGAGATGCCAGGCACATTAATACTGAAATAAATAAATAAATAAACCTTGTACTATTACCCTTTCTGAAAACATGTTCTGAGGATACATTTTGGGAGGATGGAGAAGCGCCCCAAGGATGCCACAGGCCAGCAGAGGAAGTGAAAAGTAAAATTAAAATACGGTGTGATAATTACTCGGGCTAGTAAACAAGGCTGTGGGACTTCAGAGGCAGGACTGTTGGATTGTGGGAGAAAAGGGATCTCAGACAGATGGAGCTGTGTATAAAGGCCTAGAGGTGTGAAATCACAGCTACCAGGGTAATGTCACCATGCCAAAAGGTCCTCAGGATGGGAACTATGAAATGCGAATAGAAAGACTGAGCCCGGTCCCCAAAGTGTCTTTCAGGCTGGGATATTTCAAAAATAATTTTAATAGAGGGAAAAGGGGGGCTATGGATGTGACTCTGTCGTTGGGAACCAGCCTGGCACACACCGAGTCCTGGGTTCAATACCCAGCACCACATAGACCTGGCATAGTAACACACAAATGTGATCCCAGATGGAGACAGGGCGATCAGAAGTTCACGGTTGTCCTTGACTACAAAGTGAGTTCAAGGCCAGTCTGCACTACAGGAAACCCTGGAGAGGGAGGGAGCAGGGTAGGGGGATGACACCATCCAGCTTCAGTGTCTGGCCAGTTTAATTTTCTCCATACCCACACCCGTTCTCCTCTCTCTCTCTCTCTCTCTCTCTCTCTCTCTCTCTCTCTCTCCCTCACACACACACACACACACACACACACACACAGACTTGTTTTGAAAAAAATCCCAAGACATCATATAAGACTTGGTATCATTTTGTGCAGAGATATTTTCAACATCAATAACAGCTTCTGTCTCTCAGATGCTGCACTGCCTCACATATCATTAAATCCTGACCTTCCTGCCTCCACCAGCTCGGGAGGTTTTGAGGAGTAAGCCAGACTGTGATGACACACACATTAGAAGGAGCAACTTGGGGGGGGGGGAGATGGCAAGTTTTATCAAGCCAGAATTGTATGATGACGGATCCTTAATGGCTACCGAGCCACAATCCAGAAAGAAAAGCAAAAGACAAACTGAGTCCTGTCAAGAAACAGTGAGTTTCCTTTCCAAGTGACCTTCATCATGAATTCATATGGATGGGGGGCGTGGCAATCAGTAAACCACATTCTACAGAAATACGGGTTTCCCTGGTGCTGAGAGCAGGGCCGGGATCTCTGAACGTATCATCCAGAGAGCATTTCAGTTCACGAGTTTGTCTAGGTTTGTCCTTCGGGTTCCCTGGTACATACAACAGTACGCTGTTTCCTTCCCTGGCTCCTAAAAGTAGCACAGAGAATGTTTTCCTGGTTTCCAAGGTGAAGGTCATGTGTGGTGAGTGGTCCTTGAGACCTAACAAGCTGCCTTTTCATGGGCGGCTTTGCAAGTGGTTTTAAGGTTGGTGGCACCAGTCTTCTGGCCCCATGCTCATCTCCCAGGAGGGTCTTCGATTTTTGTTAACGAAGGACTCTGAACTTAGACACACAGACTTCATCTCTGTGGAGTTCTGCACAGTTTCTTTTAGTCCTGGTAGGGTTACCCCGATGAGCGCGAAGCCTCTTTCTCCATTTGCCCTGAATTTGACCACACATCCCTCTGGGCCACAGACTACAGCTCCTTTGATGTACTCCATGAGTAGTGTTCGGCCCAGGCCCTGGCGGAACTCAGCACTCTTGTGTCTCTTTAAAGCATAAAATCTCTCCATGACTGATGAGATGTAACAGCTGTGTTGAGTGGGTGTGCCCTGATTGGGCTCTGGTGTTTTGACTTAAAAGTTAGCATTTTCCCTTTTCAGGGAAGCCCCTGGCCTGTGACATACTGTGAAAGATAATAGCTCATAAGTTACCCAAAGTTAAAGAAAGACAAACAAAGAAACAGGCAAGGAGCTCTTAGCATCCTTAGTGAGGAAGTCAGCAGGAAACAGCCAATGAACTTGCCTCACCCCTGAGTGTAAGATCGCAGTCAGACAAAGCTAGTGACCGATCTTGAATGCACTCGTGAAGTTAGTCCATGGGAACAGACCCAGGTCACCACCTTCTCAGGGCAGTGCTGGATCACCTGTATAGAGTCTTAGAGGGACTCTACTCTTCCTTCAAGACACTTGTCACTGACTGGCTCTGCCACATCAGGCACCTCAGGTGCCAGTGCCACAGCAGAACCAGATACATCTGACACCTGCTTTCCTGGGGCTCACACCTCAGAGTAGACACTACCACTAATAACAATCCAAAGGTAACTATGGAAACACCTACACAGATAGATATGGAAATGGTGACGTGGAACTGAGGTCCAAAACACAGTCAGGTCCTATTGTAGGGAAGAACACTCTGAAAGAGCAAATGGCTAAGTGTGAGCCTGGGCTGTTTGGGGCCAGGTAGGAGGCAAATGTGTCTGGAATAGAGTGAATGTTCAGAGAACTGGCCACAGGTGAGGGCGGGGAAGGCCAGGGCAGGGCTAGATGATGGAGAACCTTCAAGGCCAGGGACACAAGGTGGAGTTTTATTCAAGACATATAAAAATGATTTAAAAAATGATTTTGCTTTTTAAATAAGCCTCTGGTGGCTGTGTGGAGAGTGGATGGCCCAGGATGCTGGGCTAGGAGCAGCGGAGGCAGGGGAATGACATTGCTCAACATCCAGCCAAACAAACAAGGACAGCATCAGCTCATGGCAAGGACCAGCCCGGGCAATATCACTGAGCATAGACTAAGAAGGATTCACTCAAAGGGGGCCCTGGGAGCACCCCTGGATGCAGGCAGGAGAGGAGCAGAGCTGATGCACAGGCAGGCAGAGGCAACAGTGGCAGAGAGGGGTGCATGGCCTGGGATCTAGGCTGCCTAACTCAGACACCAGCCCTCCACGGAGAAGCTTTGTGAATTCCGAGACATTATCTCTCCCTGTGGCCTCCACTTCCTCATTCTTCAGGTGGAGATGAAGAACCCAAGTCCCCCCTTCAAGGGGATTCTGTAAGGATTAAACTGTGAGGTATTCAGAAGTGACCGTGAGGACTGGAGAAGAACAGCTCAGTCACAAGGTGCTTGCTGTGCAGGGTGTGGACCTGAGTTCAGATCCTCAGCACACAGCTAAAACACCAGGTGTGGTTATGTGTACTGTCATCTGTGTGCTGGGGAGGCAGAGACAGGCGGCTTCCTGGCCAAGTAGTCTAACCGAATCAGTGAGATCCCCGTCTTAAAAAAAAAACAAGGTAGAAAGGCAACTGAGGCAGGAACCTGACATTGACCTCTGACGTGTGCACGTGCGCATACATACACACACACACATGCATCACACATGCAAAATTAATAAAAATAAAAAAGAAAGAGCAGTGTGGGTACTGCTAAATAAAAAGGGGGCAAAAGAGAGTGGGTGAACAAGATGCTCTGAGGGACTCACAATCACAGGCTAGAGAGGACTGTAGTGCTCTGTAACCAGTGAGGGCCATCAGAACATTTTAAGAGGGAGTCGAGTAGTGCAGAGCACCAAAACCCCAAGGCCCAGAGAGGGGAGGGAATTAACCCTCTTAGTTCTTAATAGTTAGTCCTAATATTAGTCCTAATATTAACCTTAATAGTCACACATCTGGTTACCAGCAGGACTCTGCCATCTGTCTCCCCCATGTCTGTAGGATGGCAACACCAGGTCATATTTTGTCCCTCAGTGACATCCTCAGAGCCTATGAGAGTGCCTAGTATACCCTCAGTCAATATTTATATAATACATGCTGGGTCAGTGACCAAATGGGACAGGATACACCAAAAACCTTGAATCCTGAAGAAGATTCATGCGTTTAAGGCATGAGGAAACCACTCTCCTTAAAATGGATCAAACAGCCAGAGAGGTTTGTCTTGAGGGGTCTCAAGCTTCTCAAGCTTCAGGTTCTATTGTGACAAAAGACACCAATGTGTGCAGTTCCCTAGCTGCCCCTCAAGTCCCAACAAGCAACCCCTCCACAGGGTTCGGAAGTTAATCTTGGTAATGCACCTGCAAGGTGAAAACCGTTGTCTAGATGTTCAGTGTGGTAATTGCCAATGCAAGGAAAATGCATTTCTCCATTTTCAAGAGGCAAACCTTTGTGTTCCACAAAAACAGCCATTAGAATTCCTGTGGCTAACTGGTTGGGAAGTTGTGACAGCCAGGCAAGCAAGTGGGGTCTTTCAGTTCAAGCAGCAGATGGCTGGAGGAGCCCAGCGCCAGCTCTCTGCTGAACGCCTACTCAGAGCAGGGTAAAGGGCCAGGCACTTCTCCAGCATCAGAGAAGCCATGTAGCTTCGTAGCTGGGCTGTGTAGCCAGCCCCATCCTTCTCTGTGCTCCAGTTTCACAATCCGTAAAGAGGAGAAGGACTGGTGGGATCCCTGGGGTCATTCTGGCTTTGGTAGGCCATGTACAACTGCGTCTTCAATACTGTCAATAACCCTTTACAGTAAGTATTACCCGCCTGTTTACCAAATGTGCAGACACAAACCCACAAACCCTGAGCCATCCTTCCCAGGACAGGACAAGGACCTGGCCTTCCCAGAGCTCAAGTTTAATAGAGAGAAAGAAAACAAACACATAAAATCATTTTCCAGGTTCTATAAATTCTAAGAGGTAAATTAAAATTAAAGAGGTGGTATGTAACAGAGAGTGGGCCTGTTTAGTAAAGCATCCAGGGAGGAATCCAGGAAGAGGTAGTGAAGCTAACATCTTAGGAGGAAGAGGAGGAGGAGGAGGAGGAGGAGGAGGAGGAGGAGGAAGCTGGCCATGGGAAACCTGGAGGCAGAAGAAACAGAAAGGGCAGACGCCCTGGGTCAGGGGAAAACCCAGCAAGGCTGCAGGATGGGAATGGAGTGAGCAGAGGGAAAGTGGTAGGCAGTGGGGCAGAGGTGGTGGGAGCTGTCAGAGGCTGGTTGCCGAGGTAAGCATGGGGTGATTGCTAGGATGTCATTTGGGAATAGTCAAGGAACTGCTCGGGCTCAGGCAGGAGCTGGGGCAGGGACAAGAGCCTGCCACAGAGAGTTTCTTAAGGTCTGTCAAAGAATCTCCCCAGGGTGGGTCTTCTGAAGCCTCTCCAAGTCACTATGCCACCCGACCTGAGAGGCTGAGTCCTTTCTCACTCAACTGGACGCCTCCTCAAGCATAAATCCTGCTTCCTGCTTCTCCTCTCCCCATACTCTGAATCTCTGTTCCATGCTCCTCACTGCCCATAGCCTGGCAAGACGATCCCAAGCTCCCATCTTCCCCCCCCCCCAAACCGATCCTCCCACTACTCCAGAGGCACAAATCTGGGGCCCATCAGGGGTTCTCTACCACCCCTGGCTGCTCTGAGGCCCCATGTAAGTGTGCTCTGCTGACCCCGCCCCAAGCCAAGCCACGTGCTTCTAAGTTTCCATGTGGACCACATTGTCTCCATGATTTTGCAGGTGATGTTCCTTCTATTCAGCAAGCCCTTCCCATCCACTGCCCTCTTGGTCTCTCTAAGTTTCAGGCCCCAGTCCATCTTCTCAGGGAAGCCCCTGCTATCCTGGAGGGGGGCACCCTTGACAAGCCTGCAGTAGAGTGGGACTCACTGAATTTCAGTTGACTGCTTTCTCGGTAGCTGTCCTCATCTCACTTGTAAGGTAGGATAGGGGATCTGGGCTTCAACTATGGGCCAGGTCCTTCCTGAGCCTCCTTGCCATGCTCTGAGGGAGGGAGCTGGGACACTGGACTGGCCAGATAGTGAGGTAAGGTAGGGTGCTGGGACTGAGGCCCTCCCTGTGCGGTTAGAATAGCTAACTTGTGGAAGGGTCTGCAGCCAGCCTGAGAGTTGACGCGTTTGACTCCCACAAGCCCTGAGATGGAAGGTGTCCTGACCTGCTCTCTGCCTGTTCTCCCAGTCACTCAACAGTTGACTAAGCACCTACTATGTGGCAACACTTACTATGTGCCAACACCTCAAGTAACCGTTTGGGACTCAGCAGGAGGTCGACACCAAGCAGTTAACCATACCACCCATTTTTCTTTGTTGACTTCTTAAAGGTCAGGTACTTGACCCTGCACCCAGGTGGCCCAGCCAAACACACACAAGTTGCCATTTACACTGGAGATGTTGTTCCTGTGCGGAATGCAGTCCCTCCATCCCTTTGTTCCCCAAAACACACACACACACACACACACACACACACACACACACACACACCACACACAGCTCCAACCCAGCCAATCAGAAAACAGTAACTTGGCCATGGTTTCATTCCAGTTGCTGATTTTCCCTGAGAGTAGGACTCACATCTGCCCCATTTACTGCTGCACCACAGCATTCGAACATGGTCTGGCCTCTCACTCAGCCACACAGTTAACTCATTCATTACCAGATACCTCCCAAAGTCCTGCTCAGTCCTGGGCTCTGGGGAGCAGCCTGAAGGAGCCCCTATTCCAACAATGAGCTTAAAGGCTGGAACTGTGTGTGGTGAAAGTTAAGGAGGGTCACACGAGGTGTGTGTGTGTGGTGGCGGGTGTCGGATGCATTGTCCAAAGTGGACCTGAAGGCTGATGGTGACAAACGACCCAGAGTCCTCTCGGTGGGACGCCCTGTGTCACCACACAGTGGCTCTGTGAGCCAGGCAGCCCTTCATCCTTCTGCACCTCGGTGCCCACACTGGTAAATGACAGATACACCTGCTCCTGGGGCACTAGAAGAAGGACTGTTATTGGAAAGAAGACAGGGAGAGTCCAAGAGGAAGTAACGAGTTGTGCTGGGAGGAAGTAGATAAGCAGGCATTGAAGACCTCGCCACAGCCCACATCTGGTGCTCAGTCAAGAAGAGCCCCCCAACACCCCTGCAGGCCCTGAGATCAGCAGCTGGGGTGGACAGTGTAAGGAGTATGGGCTGGGGTCCCAGCTCCATGGATGCTTCTGTGTACTCCTGACCGTCAGGTCAAATGCCCGCCTGCCTCTCTAATCCTCAGTGTATAAGGACAGCTCCACCAGACCATGGGAGCAGGCTCAGTCAACAAACCCTGGCACGGCACTGACATTGGCAGACCTGGTGCAAGGTCTGGACACAGACACAGATGCGCCAGCTCCTGCCTCTTAGCGGTGAGGTTGGCACCCCCAAGACTAAAGTGAGGGAAGAAACTAGAATTTGAGGGGCGTGTGTTCTGTGTGTCTTCACAGCCAAGATCCAGTTTACATGCCAGGAGTGAGTGACGCTAAAACCCCATAATACAGGAGAGGAGTCAGAGGGCCAGGGAGATGCAGTGGCTAATCCCAAGGCCAGGACTGGAAACCAGACATATCACACACACACACACATACACACACACACACACACACACACACACAAAATGTGTCTGTTGACACCACTCAGATATCCTGGTGGCACCATCCTAGTGTTTTCTGAGCCAGTAAACGAGATGGGCAACTGCCAGCAGATTAAGTGGAGAAGGAGCCAGGAGTTAGATCTGATGCCAGACAGAGCCCCATCCCACCCAGCCCTTTGCTAGAACCGAGAGAAGCAGTGGTGGCCTTGGCTGGAGACAGTAGTGGCTGAGGACACTGGGGTCTCATGTTCACTTAGGAAACCCAACCCCTGGCTACACTCTCTCAGCTGCAAATCCTCTCTCCTTCTCTAGGAAGTTAAGCACCTCTGACATGCTATCTACCCTGCTTGGTGCCTGAGGCTCCTGCATCCCAGCTCATCCAGGAAGTACAGGTAAGGGCGCTGCCCAAGGTCATAGCCATGGGTGGCATTCGGGGGGCCTCTTGTCTGGGACGAAGACAAAAGGGGTCACTCTTCCATTCCCAAGTTGGCGTGAGATGGGTCGGCTCGGGGACAGTGCGATGGTTTTGGCTGCATCTCTGAAGCATTAGCTTATCCAGTGCTATCTCTCAGGTGAGCATTCTCATCCCTGCTTCCAGATGAGAAAACTGAAGCTCAGAGGCTAGCCCAGTGTACAGGACAGGGCTAGCCCAGTGTACAGGACAGGGCTAGCCCAGTGTACAGGACATGGCTAGCCCAGTGTACAGGACAGGCAGGGGGCTAAGGCTGATTTCCCATCCACTCTCCTTGTCTGTCGCCCAGGAACCTATGCACACAGCGGGACTTGGTTAGGGTTTAACAAATGAGGAGAATTGATGAATCGTCTGTGATGAGATGACCTGGCTCTCCTGTCACCATCAACTCCTCATCCTTTCTACTGAATCACAGCACCCTTCCCCCTCTCCTAGCCTGTCCCCATCTCTCAGTAGTGGTGTCCATTGCCCCCTTCTGCAAAGACAGGACCATGGAGGGAGCAATCAACTTCACCTCTTGCAGGTTAGCAGGCCAAGCCTAGTCACCCCGCCCCAGCATCCTTCCATCCACATCGTCTCTTCCCCACCATAATGTGCATAGCTGTAAACTTGTTTCTTTAAATAAACAGTCTTGAGTTTCATAGCAAATAGTCTTTTAAGAGGAGGAACGTCTCCGGGCCACCTCATATTTAGCATACAGTGATCCACATATTTGCACAGAGAGAGAGTGTGTGGATACAGAGATCGCTTGAACGCTATAGATACCATGGCTCATCCAGATGGGAGCTATTTACGAGGCTGAGTCATTCACAGACAACGCCACTGAGGAATCCCAGGCTGGGCTCTGAGCCCCAGCGCCACAGACCTCATGGCTCTCTGCCTAAGTCACAGGGGTTGGGGGGAGGGAAAGGAGAAATCCCATCACAGAACACGGACAGAGGGGGCGTTTTGGTTCGGAGAAATGGGAATTCTCTCATTAGTATATCCCGTTTCAAGTTAGTGTTCTCCACCCAGGGCATTCCACCTTCCCAGGTCATCAGAGCCAATACTTCGCTGTATAGGAAAGAAAACTAAGACCTAAGAAGGTAAGGGTCCTGCCCACTATTCCACAGTCAGAAACAGAAGTGACGCCACCTCCAGCCTTCTGGCCACAGCGTGGAGGTCTTTCTGCTCTCTGGCCATCTTCTGCAGCTCCCTAAGGAGCTGCCCCTGCCGCATGAAGACTTCTCAGTCCTGCCTTCCTTGGGTGCTCTCAGCGATGAACAGAATCCTGCTTACTCAGGCTGTCCTGTTTGGATCAGGGCTCACACACACTGTGTGCTCAGTGCCTGTAGCCTGGGCTTAGTCAAACCTAACTCAGTAGCAATTCCTGGAGAACCCTAGTTCTCCGTTTGAAAAAGAGCCCATTGTCTCCACCCTCCTTCTTGTCTCGAAGCCAGTTCTCTATCCATATAAAAATAGGCTTCCTCCCACTTGCCACCCACTTCTGCCCAATTCTATAATGAATCAATTTTATTAATAGGCTTTGGGATAGAAACTTAACAAAGGCTTTTTGTGAAAGTCACCATTTATCTCCCCATATAGTTCACTTCTCAGAGAATTCTAATAAACTAGTCAGGTGGGATTCGGCCCTTCCATAAAATACCCATTAATCCTCTCTTTCCCTCTATGTAGAACGTGTTTCTTTAAGCATCGGTGACTACAGTCTAGTTGGTTGTTCTAACAGACAGCAGAGAGAGACAGGAAGAGCATGGCTTTGGTGTCAGGGCTGAGTTACATTCTAGCTGGCCACTTAAATGGCTCCAGACTTATATTGATTACGCAGAGACCTGGACAACTTACTTGTCACAGGGAATTAAATGAGCTTATGTCTGTATATTACCGAGCACGTCTGTACTAAGCATTTAGTGAAGCCTTGTGAGTAAATAAACAACTGACTAAATGAGGAAGGAATGACTCCAGATCCCTACCCAACAGACCCTGAAAGGGGAGGGGCCAGCTAGCTCTGCCATCTGAGGTGTGCCACTCAATACTCCAGGAGGGGTTTAACTGTGACAGAGCACCTGCCAGCTATTTCAGGGAAGGCGGACTATTTTGGCTCATGGTTACAGAGGTTTCAGTCCCCTGTGGTGGTGGGAGCTGCGCCATCTCATCTGCAGCAGCGCGTGTGTGAGGTAACAGTTGTTCGCATGGTGAAGACTGGGAGTTAGATGGGGACTGAGGGCACACGTGGGCACCTTCTGCCAGGCAGGCTCCACCTTCCAAAGGCTCTACAGCTGGGACCACTATTCAGACCTTAGGAAGAAGGCCAGAGGCAGAGGCTTCCCTCTCCAGCCTTTCATGCATGGGAAATGTTTTGCTCAGGGAAATTTTGAGACTGGAATCTTGATTCAAAGGAAAAAAAAATTCCCAGAGAATCAGGAGTGCATCGTGTTCACTACTGGATTCTCTTTCCCTGATGACAGACTGGCTTAGTATGAACAAGCAGGGGCACAGTAAGTGACTGGCTGGTGTTGACTGACTTGGTTTGACATGAGCAGAGTTATCTGATTGACTTGACATAAATTGACTTGTGAAGTTTTGAACTTAGTAATGTACGTGGGTCCACTGAGACAAACCTTTCCAGAACTTGGACTTAGCCTTAGCTGAGATTTGGCCTTATAACACAAGGGAGAGCCCCAAAGATGATGTCCTGAGGCAGTTTCAGGGCATCTCAGAGAGGACCAGAGCCATATTGAAGGCTAAGAGAAATGGGTAGTAGTAGTGTTGGTATGGTCCAAGGGTACAGTGAAGTAGAGTATCATTTAGAAATATTTAAAATTTATTGGAATTCTGTCCAGACCTGCCCGTATTTTTAAGGCAATAGGTTCCTCTCTTTCTGGGCAAAGAGGAGCCTTTAGGAGCTCCCACTTCGCAGGGATCAACCTCTCAGTTAGGGGGTCAAACAAACCCTGCAGTGAGAAGAGAAAGCAGGCCGAGGCCGAGAGCCAGGCGATTGCAGGGATACCACAAATGGCCCTCGCTGGGAAGAGGATGTAGGGTCTGAGTGAGGTGTGACTCTACTCCAGACTAAGTCAGACACTGCTGAAGGAACAGTGTCTTAGGATCGAGGCAGGACTGGGCACCAACCTCTGGCATTACTGTGGAAGGCAGCCAGCATCCCTGGGGCACATTGACTGGCACTATCTCAGTCACTACCCAGAAAGCAACCAGGGTCCTGAGGAAGACAGGAAGCTGAGGAACAAATGAGCTTTGGGTGAGCAGGGGATGCTCACAGCTGCACTCTGAGCATGCCTGTGTCTGTCTCCGATACCAGTGAAAACCTGTGAAAGGAAAGATCCCCTGGTCTCCCTTGCCCACTTTGTGCCCTCCAAAACACTGGGTACAGGCACATTAGTGGGTGAGAGATGAACAATGAGGTCAGAGCAAGGCTTAAAAAGCCAGCGGGATATTTCAAGATGGAAAATTTCAAAATATCAAGGTGGCCAAAGTCTAAAAGCAGAGAGAGAGAGGCCCAAGCAGGAAGGACAGGATAGGCCCACAGCTCACCCCTCCGGGGTCTACAGAGAAAGTTGGACTAAACAGAATCAAGGAACAGTAACAGACTGGTTTGAAACCATGTCCCTATGAGTCACAGGCTTCTGAGAAAGGGTCTGACTTTGGTGGAAGGGAAGCCCCCCCCCCCCCCCACACACACACACAAAAGAAGACCTGGATTCCCAGCCCATTTTAATTCATAAAAAAATCTCTGCTTTTATTGTTTTATATACTGGACTCCCATGTAAAGTTTTATTTTTAAAGGGGTCTCTGGATTTAAAATTACACACATTTGAAAAGCATAAGTTGAAAAGGCTTAAGCATCCAGAGGTAGCTGGTTGGATTCACATCCAGCACCATCCCTTCACACTGCCGTGTGGAACAGGAAGGACTGTTCCTGTCTGTAAAGCATCCTCCCAGGAGTGTGCGTCCCATTAGCTGAAACGCCGCGGCATTTCCCAAAGGCTGGCACACACAAGATTGATGCTGTGTAAGATGACTTTAGGTGGTATACAGATGCACGTTTGTTATTTTAACAGTTCACAATCGATGCACGTTAGCAATATGGAAGCCATATATCAAACTCTGATTTATGGAAACAAGATAGCATTTTCTTTGAACATAAAATTGTGCGTTTTTAAAAAGGCAAATCAGTGTAAAGAGAACCACTAAGTAAATGAATAGTACTTGTAGGGCGGAAGTCCTGGAGGTGGAACATAAATAAAACTGGAGGAGATTTGAAATAATCTATGTAAAACACCAATCATGGTGTCTGTTGCTTAGGAAGGACTCAAAACTTTGAGTTCTTAGTTCTAACTTTCTTATGTATGTGGACCTAGCGCCACGCTCATTCACTAAGGCAGAGCAGAGCAGGTGCCCAATTCCAGTCTAAAGAAAGAACTGTGTTTAAAAGAAAAAAGCCAGTTGTGGTAACACACACCGATAGAACATGATAAAGAAGCAGGGACAAGAGGAGCATGAGTTTGAGGTCAGCTGAGGCTATATCGTTTGAGCCAGTGAGATGGTTCACATGTGTGTGTGTGGGGGGGGGGATGTATGCCTCCATGCCTCACAACCTGAGTTTGATCTCCAAAACCTACATGGTAGAGAGAACCAACCCCCAAAGGTTGTTCCTCTGACCTCTAAGAAGCACACAAACAAACCAATAAGTAAATAAGTAAATAAATAAATGCAGTTCTTTAAAAATGTGGACAGTGCCTGAAATGCAACACCAAAGTTGTCCTCTGGCACACATGTACGTACATGCACACACACACACACACACACACACACACACACACACACACGAAAAATAATGTTGGAATCTTGAATTGCGATCTTTTCCTGGGCTGTCAACATGCTGTATGCGCCTGTCTCCAGCAT